CTCCGGCCCGCCTGGCAGTTGGCCTCGACCTCGGTGGTTCTGAGGGCCCCCTTGCACAGGCGAGGGCGGCCGCGCCGCCCACGGGGCCTATTCCGCCGCCGGGGCCGGTGGGGAGGGGCGCCCCCGCCGCTCCCGCACCAGCATCTGGCGCTGTTCCTGGCGAGGCCTCCGGGGGCTCCCCAGCCCAGCCCAGGGCGGCGGCCCCAGGCGTCACGTACGGAGGCGCGTGCGTCGCCGTGGCGGTGCAGACGTTGGGCTTCAACGCGGACGCCTTCCGCGACCTGGTCACGCGGCTGGGTGGCGGTGAGGACACCACTTTGGCATACCTGTTTTCCGTCCTCGAGGCCGACCTGAAGACCGACCCGGCAGCCACGACGGGGTCAGGCGGCCAACCGCTCACGGGGATTGAGCGCGGCCGTTTTGTGCGGCAGCTGGGTGAGCTCGGGGCATTGGGTGGCTTCGGCCTTCCGCAGCTGGGCATCTTCACGCCGCAGCGCCCAGCACCAGCAAGGGAGGAACCGCCAGCGGCGGCGGGGGTCCGCGGCTGGGAGCTCAGCACCGTGATCATCCAGGGGGGCCGGCGGGAGTACCGCATGCTTGATAAGGCCAAGCTCAAGGAGATCGACGAGACGTTCGAGGCCGCCAACGGCGGCCCCACGGCAGACTACGAAGACACGTCACCGGAGCAGATCTCTGCTTTGGCTTTCTTGCTGGCGCAGGACGAGGCCCCCTACACCGACTTTGGCATCTGGGGCCCGTTCGGGAAGCGGACCGCCAAGTTCCTCAGCTTCCGCGCCCAGGTCTTCGTCGCCGGCGAGTGGGTGGCCAAGGTCGTGCAGGGCCCGCCAAACTTCGCGGCATGGCGCCGCGGCTGGAGGGTCTTCCGCACGGCTGCCCTGAAGCTCGGCCTCAGCGTGGCCGGCCCGCTCGATGCCTACGAAGAGGGCGTGCGGACCGTCTCGGCCTCGTTCCCGGACAAGTGGGGGCTGATCTGCGTGGTTGAGGACCACATGCGGTCAGAGCGCTGGGAACGCGTGCGGGTCCTCATCGAGCGATGATCCGCGGGGACCCTGAAGCAGCGCTGGGACCCCAACAGGCCATGGGAAGCTGTCCTAGCATACAGTGCGTACGGCACGAGCGAGGAGGGGCAATGGTGGTACCGCCACCTCGACCTCCCGTGTCTCCAGAGCAGCACAGTCAAGGCAGCTGCGGGCCGGGTCGCCGACGTCGAGGGCACGACGGGCCTCGAGCATGTCGGGCTCGGCGCCGGCTCGGTCGAGGGGGCGCCGCGGGGGGATTTCCCGGCTGGCAGGGGCCGCCCCAGGCCGGCGCAGGAGGAGCCCGACCGCTCCCGCAAGCAGAGGCGGGTGGAAGCGCAGGTGACCCGCTTCCAGAACTTCAAGGAGAATGGCACCCGGCCCGACGGCCGCCACGTCATCGACGATGACGGCGTGGAGCTGTGCTTCGCCTGGAACCGCGATCGCAATGGGTGCGCCGCGGGGGCGTGCCCGCAGCGCCGCAGCCATCTTTGCGAGTGGTGCTTGGGGCCGCACCGGGCCGTCGACTCGTCCTGCCCGAAGCGCCCGACCGATTGGAAGCCCCCTGAGAAGGGCGGGGGCCGGGGTGCTGGCAGGGGCGGCCGGGGGCGGCGGTGAGCCGCCGAAGAGCCCCCCGTGACGGCGCATCGCGCAGGCGCGGGGGGCGGCGAGCCGCCCCGGCTCTGCCGGGACACGGCAGCACCCCTACCAGGACATCCCCGCGAAGATCAGCGGGCTGCCCAGGAACCTCCCGCGCTGGAGATTCCCAGGAGCCTTTCTGGAGGCAGCGCGGCACCGAATCGGGCAGCGCCCGCGTCGCCATCCCCGCCTCCGGCGCTGGCGTGCCATCCAGCGGCCCGGGCCATCGAGCCAGCTGGCGCATCATGCCCGGGCCGCGCATCGCACGCCCGGGCGGCGCAGCCGTCGGAGGATCACGCAGCGGCCCCCCCTGCGCCGGCCGCGCGACTGCTGCCAGGACAGCCAGACCAGGATCCGCACGACCGGGCAAGGGTGTTGCCGCACCCTCTCCGCGGCACGGCGGATCCCAGCGCCCGGGAGCGGAGGTCCGCAGAGGACAGGGTCTGCACGGCAGGGTTGCGCAACCCCGCACAAGTGGTGTCTCAGTGGCCGGAGCTGCGCCAGACAATGGCAAGGGTGAGAGCCGCCCTGCTCCCAGTGCGCGCGGGGCTCCGGGAGCTCCGGGGCCTTGCAGGGGCGTGCGGGGAACGCCGGGCACGGGCGCCGCCGTCAGAGGCGGCCGTTGACCTTGCGCGTCGGGCCGTCGGCGCCGCGCTTGGCCTCGACCGGCGAGCCGTGGGCGAGCGCCATCCGTCGCCCCCTCTCCGCCACCGCATTGTGCAAGCCGTGCTCAGGCAGTCCCATGACACGGACACGCACGTGGGGGCCTGGCTACAGCACGGCGCGCCCATGGGAATTGTGCAAGAGGTCGCTCCTGGAGGGCACTTCCCCCTGGCGCCGTCGCCTGCTGTTCTGTCGCCCGAGGAGCTGGAAGGCGTCTTTGAGTACGGCGGCAACCATGGCTCTTTCCAGGCAACTTTTGACGATGAGCCAGTTCCTCCAACGCATGCTCTGATCCGGGAGTACCTGGAGAAGGGATTTGGCACAGAGCTCCCTTCGCGGGCGGACGCTGAAAGGCACCGCGGGCACACCTACCCAGCGCCGCTGGGGAATATCAGCAAGCGCCGCCGCACTGGGGTCTGGAAGCGCAGGATCATCCAAGATCTTAAGGTGAACTGCGTGAACAGCGCAGCTTCCTCGTGGGAGCGCGTCGTGCTCCCGCGCGGCATCGACCACGCGGTGGACTTGGCGAACCTATCGTCGTCGGAGAACCACGTGGAAGTCGTCGTCCTGGACTTCGTGGATGCCTTCATGGTCATGCCGCTCCACGAGGACGAGAAGCCGTACAACTGCGCCGAGGTCCCCGGGCCGCGGGGCCCTGGCAGCATGTCCTACATCGTCTGGAACGTCTTGGGCTTCGGCGGCAAGAGCAACCCCTTGGTGTACAGCCGGTTCGGCAGCTTCGCCACCCGCACCGCGCAGGCCATCGCGTCCGCAGACGCGTTCCGGCCCCAGCTCTATGTCGACGACCCTGGCATGACGGCCGCGGGGCCGCCGGCCGCATGCGAGCTGGAGTTTGACCTGGTGCTGCTTTGGTGGCTGGTCCTCGGGCTCCGCCTCGCCTGGTCGAAGGGCGCGCATGCTGGTGGCAAGGCTGCCGCGCTGGCACCCGGGGCTGCGGGCCCCGCGCCAGTGGCTTGCCACCAGTGGCTGGAATCGCGTACGCGACCTGGGCAGGTTGCTCTGTGATGGCCCTGACATCCGAGTTCGTTGACGCGTTCCTGGAGTCGCTGCAGCCGTTCGCAGGCGGCGCGCCCTGCGCGCCCTTGGCGGCGGCGCGTTCCATCACTGGCAAGGGCTCGCGCGTGGCGCAGGTAGTGCCGACTGCAGCGCCTTTCGCCGCCATGCTCTGGGCCGCCAGCTTACGGGCCGTGGAAGATGGTCGCCCGGAGGCCCCGCCAGGGCACGTGGCCGTCGCGCGCTTTCGGACAGCCGCGCGATGGTTCATGGCCCTCCTGTCCGAGCCGACGGACCTCGAGAAGGCGGGGCAGCCATGGCAGCCGCGAGGGCATGAGTGTTGTGTCTTTCCATTGCAGCGAATGGTACGGCCAGCGTCAGACGCGCAGGCCCTCCCGCCAGCGCCAGTGCTGGCGACCTTCGACGCATCACCCTGGGGTGGGGCGGCGGTGGCATCCTTTGGCGCGCCGCCGAGCCGGCGGAGTACTTCGTGGTCACGTGGGACTCCAGGACTCCACGACCCTCGCGTTGTTCGAGGCGGAGGCGGGTGTTTCACGCTGGCAATCGTTATGGGAATTCGTGACGCTGCTGGTGTGCCTCCTTCTCTGGGGGCGCCACGCGGTGGACCATGTCCTGACGATCCAGGGAGACAACATCGCTGCTCTCCAGGGCGGCCTCGCGATGAAGGGGCGCGGCCACATGCTGGATGTCGCGCGCGAGATCGCGTGGCGCAAAGCACGCTACAACTGGACGTTCACGACAGCGCACATCCCCGCGGAGCTCAACGACGATGCTGACGCCTTGTCGAGGCTGACGGCTCTGCCGCCAAAGAAACTGCCAGGGCGCTTACATTCGGTGCCACGGGCCTCGGTCCCATCGTGGCGCCAAGCGTTCCAGGCCAAGCGGCCGCCGTGATTTCCGCGGGGGAGCGTCTGCCGGGGCGCTTACATTCGGTGCCGCGGGCCTCGGCCCCATCGCGGCACCAAGCGCTCCCGGCAATGCGGACGCCTTCATTCCAAAGTTCCGCTGTAACCGAGGGGTGCGTTTGAAAATAGCGCCAGGGAAAAGATGCCCTCCGGCCCCCCGTCGCGCCCCGATTTCTAAGATTGCTGGGGTATTCCTGAGCGGCGACGACGGCGACGGCGACGGCGACGACGAATGCACGACAAATTTTACGTTAAATTTGTCGCGTTGGCGTCTGTTTCAATTTAATGTTCCCCGGCGCGCATTCTGCGTGGAAAAATCAACACTTCCTGCGCGCCCTCAAAGTTTCAAAAAATACATGTTTCGTCTGTTCGGCATTTTTTGAAATTTCAGGGCCTGGCTGGATCAGGTGTGTTTTTTTCCATGCGAAAACCGCCCCCGGCGGATTCATCTTGAATACTGGACGGGTGCCCCCCCGGACGTCCCCGGCCCACCCTGGGCCTTTTTCGGCCCTCCCGAAATCGCCCGCTCGGGCATGCATCGACCTATTCGCAGCCATCGCTCCCCGCCCATTCCGCTCGTGACCCGAGCAGCCATCTCGGAGTCAAATGCGCGAGGTAAGAAGGCGCCTCGATTTGGCCGACGCCGCGCCTCCGACGCGGCGTCATCGGGGGGAGCCATGCGGGCCCATCGGGCGCCCCATTGAACCCCCGGCACATCCTCATGCCGGGGGTTGGGCCCCAGCTGGCGCGCCATTGGGCGCTGCGCCTGCCGCCGGGCTTATCGGGCTCCCCGCGGCACTCCCGGCACATCCTCATGCCGGGGGTCGGGCCCAAGCTGGCGTGCCATTGAGTGCTGCGCTTGCCGTCAGTGGCCGTGGCAGGGAAGGCTATCCACCTGCCATCCCGGCGCTGCGGTCCGACGCACCTGGGCGGGCGGCATATGACGCGGATCCCTCCCAGACGTTCGCGACGCGGCGAGGCAGCAGCTGGCCCTGCACAATTTCGACGCGGACGTCCTGGCCTCGACGTCCCGTGACACCGAAGCCGCCAAGGCCCGCACCATCGACGCGATCTTCGACATGTGGGGCCTGACGTACCCCCCGCTCACGGTCGCATCAGTCCGGGCCCTGGGGGCATCATCTTTGAAGCTGGGCGGGCACCGATCTGCGAGATCACATCTGGCACTAGCCAGGAAGCGCCATGAGCAAGGAGACCATCCGGTCTCGCCGGCACTGGCGCAAGCGCTCAAGGACGCACGCCGGTCCTGCGAGAGGGGCCTCGGCCCGGCACGGAAAGTTGAAGGCTTGCCGCTGGGGCAGCTGGACCGGCTCCCGCGAGGGAGCGAGGCGTGGGCCCCCAGGGGTCCGCTGGCGCCGTTCCGCATGCTGGTCGCCGGCTGCTGGTGGCTCACCAGAGAAATTGAAATCAGCACAGCGCCAGCGGCAATGGTCACCTTCAGGATGACCCCATCAGGCCTCCAGGCCTCTTGGTTACTTCCCGCTTCCAAGGCGGACCCATCGGCTTTGGGCCAGGAGCGCACGCATGGATGTTCTGGCGCTTTCGCGAACGTATGCCCAGCGCACGCCCTGTGGGCCCAGCGCGCCACGCTGCGTGCACTTTTTCCTGACCGCCACGACGAAGCAGGCATGCCGAACCTCGACCTTCCGTTGTTTCCGTCGGCGCAGGGCACCGCGGTCTCCAAGGAGGCCGTGGTCGCGACCATCCAGGAAGCCGCGCGCCGCTTGGGCTTGCCTGCAACTTCGGCGGACGGGTGGCCGTTGTGGTCAGGGCACAGCCTGCGCGCTGGGGGTGCACAGTCTCTCGCGCAGGCAGGGTTGGATATCTGGATTATTCAGCTCCTGGGGCGCTGGGGCTCTTCGGTCGTGCTGGAGTACGCGCGGCAGGCCCCCCTGCTGGCATCGCAGACGTGGGCTGCGAGGGCATCGGTCACGGCTCGTCCGCTGGCGGGCGAGGTGATGACGTCTCCGCAGCTCGTCGCGCTACGAGCTGCCCGGCAGGCCCTGCGGCGCCGCCGGACACGCGCCCGCCCCTCGGGCGAGAGTGCGCCGTCTGCCGCGGCTGGGCGCGACGCCCCTGGTGGCTCGCAGGCAGCTCCCCCCGTGGACTCGGACGCCGTGGACGCTGCACTCGAGCCCCTCCGGGAGCGGCTGGGCGCCTTGGAAGTTGCGGTTCCGGCAGTGCGGTTGGAGCTGTCTGAGGTGCGCGGGGCACTCGAACTCGAGGTGGCCCGCCTCGTGTCTTGCGACATCCTTGCGGGAGCAGGTTGAGCAGGATATGGAGGAGACTTCCCCGTTGGAAGGCGTTGTGCTCCTGCAGAACACCGCGAAGAGCCACGTCGGCATCGATGGCTTCGTCGTGCACGCGGTCCTGGCGGCCGAATCTGGGCCACCAGAAGCGCGCACTGGGATCGCGAGATGCCTCTGGCAGTTCGGCGCCGGCGTGAATGCGGCCCGGGCCCACGCGATGCCGGGCATCTACAAGCAGCTATGCGAACGTTGTTTTCCAGAGCTGAGGGGCGTACATAAGAAACGAGCAGCCCTGCGGGCGAAGGCTATTCGCCGTCACGGTGGTGAGATGGGGGCTCAGAGTTCTCGCACCCCGTGACGTGCCATCGCCTTCGCCACGTGGAAAGAGGATCGCCTCTGCTATGTCGCACGACACCCTGACATCCCCTAACATGGGCGGCCGGGCTGGGCAGCCGCCCGCACGTTTGCAGCATAGTTCACTTGTGAACGGGGGTGCAATGAGGGCGGGCGGCGTGGGTGTGCAGCGAGGCGCGCACTTGTCGTGGCCATTTTGGGTCCAGTCGCGCCCGCTCTGATTCCCCACCCCCCCATTTCCCTATGCTTTCTGTCCGGGGGCTCAGAGTTCTCGCACCCCGTGACGTGCCATCGCCTTCGCCACGTGGAATGAGAGATCGCCTCTGCTATGTCGCACGACACCCTGACATCCCCTAACATGGGCGGCCGGGCTGGGCAGCCGCCCGCACGTTTGCAGTCGTAGATGCTGCGCAAGGCCTTGAGGGCTCGCTTGCACTTGGCCACGACATGCGCCTCTGGGGTGCCTCCTCCGCCGCCGTCCATCGGGTCGTCCGCGCGAGCCCCGTCGCGAGCAGCAGCAGGAGGACGGCCAGCTGAGTTGGGACGCGGCATGGAGCGCTGGCGGGGCTGCGAGCGGGCACCGCCTTCGGCAGTTGGCCTGCCCGCTCTGTCCCTGCCGCACGCCCAGCACGTCTCTCGACTGGCGTAGTTCGTCGTGTAGCCGCACGCGCGAGTGGCCACGCATGCCCGGGTGGCACCACTGGGGGGCTGCCGCGCCCTCCACGGTGCCTCAGGCGCGGCCGCACGGCCGTCTGCCATGGCGTCGCCGTGGTGCCCTGCGAGGATCCTGCGGGCCTGCGCCTCGCGCTGGACCGCACGGGCAGAGGCACGCCGCCGCCGCAGTCGCCTGTGCCAGGCAGGGGACGGGCCGGCCGAGCCACGTGCAGCCGTCCTGCCAGGCCTTGCCGCCCTCGGCCTCGCAGTCGGCACCCCCAGATGCCGCACGCACCAGCGCCCGCCTCGCCGCGGGCCGCTGGCGACTGGGGCCGGATGGCAGGCCCCCCGCCGCGCGCCCCCGCGCGCGTGGGAACCCCAAGCGGCGCCTGGAGGAGGAGGAGGAGGAGGAGGAGGAGGAGGAGGAGGAGGAGGAGGAGGAGGAGGAGGAGGAGGAGGAGGAGGAGGAGGAGGAGAGAGGAAGGATGAGGAGCCGGCGGTTCAAAGGAGGGGGCCGCGGGGATGGGGCCCTGAGGATAGGAGCGGGACCCACCGTCGAGCCTAAATTTTCGTCAAGTCGTAATTGGGGCTGTATCCCTCAGGGCCCCATCTATGAACCGCCGAAGGAGGGCGGAGGAGGGAGAGGGCAGAGGAGAGCGGAAGGGGAAGCAGAGAGGGGACGGCATGTGTTGCTCGCCATGATGGACAACGGTTCTGGAAGGGAAGGTGTCTTGCGTTTGTTTTCGCCGTTTTGGGTATTCGGGGCCCTCCACGGGCCCCTGGATTGTCAAACACATCTCGTGATGAAAACTTGTTCTTGAGAGGGCGGCAGGGGGACGAGGAGGGCGGAGGAAGATTACTTCCTGTTCCTTCCTCCTCTCCCCTCTTTCTTACGCCTCCCCTTCCCTCACAGAGAGGAGGGGGCAACGGAGAGAGGGGGCGGGAAAAGTCGGGAGTTGCCAAAGTTCAGGCCTCCCGAATGGGACCAGAGCGGATGGGGTCGAAGGATCGTGCCTCATTGCCGATGCATCGGCCATGCGACGCGATCCCGAGCCCGATTTTCCCGTCCCGGCGTCGCCAGCGTATGGGCGATACATCGGCGATGCGGTGCGACATTCCGACCTCATCTTCTTTGGCCCCATGTGGGGGGCCTCAGCAAAGATGTCTCTGTGCCCAGGATTTCCATGGAGGCGACCTCGGCCTTCGGGTCACACCTCACGAGGCCCAGAGAGCCCCAGGAGCTCCAAAACGGAACGAACAGCTGGGGACATGTTGGGCCAATGGGGGGAGGAGATGGGCGGAGGAGGGAGTCTCTCTCAGACGCCTTCCTTCCCGGTTCTGTTCCTTCTGATTCTCGTCCGCATCACCCTACCCCTCAGGGAGAGGAAGAGCGAGAGTTGGGAAAAGGAGGAGGGGGGAAGGACGAGGAGGGAAGAGGGCAGGAGGAGGAGGAGATTCAGGGTCGAGGAGATGGAGGGCGCGGAGGGAGGAAGGGGAGAAGGAGATTGCTTTTGGTCCTGCGTTCCTGAAGTGGCTGCGCTGCAGACGACGGCAGGCCTGGCCGCCGAGGTCAGTGTCGCACCCTCTTATGCGCAGGATGGCTGTGCCACGCGGAGACCAGACTTTTCTCCAGAGCCTCCTGGGCTCTCGGTCTCCTCCATCGATCACGTATCGGCAAGGATTTCGCAGCAACTGGAGCTGGGGAATCGCCACGGCTGCGCTTTCCCTGCAGTCCAGCGGCGGCGCGCCTTCCATCGAATGAGCCTCTCGCGCCGGTCATGGTGGGACCGCGACACCGCAGCTCCCATGACCGAGCCAGGCAAGGGTGCGCTGCCATGGCCGCAGCGCGCATGAAGAGGGAAGGGCGAGGAATAGGAGGAGGAGGATGCTGAGGCAGAGGCGGAGGGGGGGATCACGAGGGATTGGCGAGTACGGGGGTTATGAACGAAGAGGTCGTTCCTTCCCCGCTCATCCACCTTCCCGCCCCCTCCGTGAAGGAGGGAGCAGAGGAGCCTTGCCTTCTGCTGGGCGCACCCTTCTCCCTCGTTGCCCGCCCTGGAGGGAGGGAGGTCGCACGATGGAGAGGGAGGGAGGGAGGAGCTGAATGAGGTGGTGGCTGTGGACCGTAGAGGGGGGCAGGAGGAGGACCAAGGAGAGGACGGTCGAGTTCGAGGAGGGCACACAGGACGGTGAGGAAAAGGCGAATGAGGACGAAAGACGTGGAGGAGAAGAAGCATGGAGAGGGAGAGCAGGCTGGAAGAGGAGTAGGAGGAGGAGGAGGAGGAGGAGGAGGAGGAGGAGGAGGAGGAGGAGGAGGAGGGGGAAGCAGGATACATATTAAGAGCAAGTGGCAGAAATAGGGCGAGGAGGAGGCCGGGACATCGGAGAGGAGGAGGAGGAGGTTGCGAATTTGGATGAGTCTAAGGACGAGCAGGGTTGAAGATGACGCCGACTAGGTCTCAACCTCTCCCCTCAGTTGCATCCATGGGCTCTTGTGGGACTGCAGATGTTTGAGCGCCCAGCTTAACACGCTCCGTTGTCTGCGTAGCCGCCGCGTCTCACACATCAAGATGGTTGAAGCATATGCCTATCAGAGTCGCTTCGAAGGCTGGGACCAGCTTGCATGATTACCGAATGATGTCCGTGCAGCACATGTCCGCTTGTAGATTTTCAGGTATCGCGGAGTACGAGCTCGACTGCGTTTCTGCGGGCCGCTGTCACGCGCCAATGCCTCGAGGCGTGTTTGTGAGCATGCGTCATATGCTTGAAGCTTGTTGAAGCGACCCGCCGGAATTGTCGTGAGGATTAGGTTGACAGCGAGCGCCGTCGGGCGTGTTCGCGGTTGGAGCCCTTGGATGTTTTGATCGTTGGAATCAGTTTATTTGTTTGGGTTCTAGGAAGCGGAATCCACGCCGTTTCTTTTTGGGTTCAGGAGTGAGTCTATGCGCATGAGCATGAGTACGCCTAAGCTTATGATGGGTGTATTTGCACGTCGGTGGGCGTGACTGAGTCGAAATGGCTACGCGATCTCTTCCCCCATGTTGAAGCAAGGGGTATGGCCTAGGGGTGCTCATGCAATTTCCGCGCGAAGCCCTTGCGATTGGTTGGCTGTCCCAGAAGATTTCACGCAGTGACTGGACCGTGGTACAGCCAGTCACGCCACGCAGAGGAAAGGCCACACCTATAAGAGCATACGTAAAAGACTGAGGATTGGAACCGCAGGAGTATATAGGAACATGCGTATCAGTCCAAGGGCTCGTGCCCCAGGAGAAGCCCACTCTATAGGAGCATTGGGAATTCACATAGGACTGAGACCACAGGACAAGGGCGAACCAGAAGTAAAACACCATGGAATCGCGACCCTGGGGAAGCCCGATCTCTTGGAGCATAAGCAAAGCACATAGGACTGGAACCACTCCTATGGTCTCCTGGGGCCTCCTGGTGCTTCCTGGAGCGTCTTGGGGTCTCCTGGGCTCCTGGGGCGTCCTGGGGCCTCCTGGGGCGTCCTGGGGAATCCTGGAAGCGCTTGAGGCCTCCTGGGGCCTCCTAGGGCCTTCTCCTGGAGCCTGTTGGAACCTTCTGGGGTCTCCTGGGGGGATTCGCGCCCCAGGAGGGGCCCAATCGATAGGAACATGCGTAAACCCACAGGAGAGTGGCAATATTTAGAGACAGACGAAACAAATTGCGGAGTCGTGCCCCAAGAGAGGCCCACTCTACCAAAACAGATACGAAATACGTAGGATTGGAGCCACATTGAGGGTGCATTCTATATGGACATATGTGAAACACCGAATATTCGACTTAAACGCAGACCAGCCTGGCAATTGACACAAGCAAGCTGCTCGATGTATCCTCTCAATCTGGGCCCCCTTGGGTGCGAAAACCAGCGCTTCGTCCGACACATCATCACATTCTGTTCCCACTGCAAATAATGTTAGATTGGTAAACAGGCGAACCGCTCGAGACATCACCGCAATCTGGGCGCGAACGGAGGAGTCACATATTCCTTGGCGGCCCCCCTTGGAGGTGCCAGAGTCAGCTCCTCTCCCGAGCCATCCCCAGCATCTGCCCTGAACGCAGACAAGTCTGGCTACCAAAACAAGCAGGCCACTCGAGACATCCTCGCAATCTGCCTTCCCCCCCTGGGGTGCGAAAACCAGCGCCTCGCCCGAACAGGCACAGCGCTCGAGGCATCCGCCCCATCTGGGCGCGAACGGGCCTGTGCAATACCTTCTGACGCCCCCCTTTGGGTGTTGAAACCAGCGCCTCGCCCGAGACATCCTCAATGTCTGCCCCGAAAACACAGGATGCTGAGGGCGCAAACAGGCACACCGCTCGAGACATCCCCGCAATTTGGGCGCGAACGGAGGAGTAGTGCAATCCCCCCCTGGCGCCCCCTCTGGCGCCCCCCCAGCGCCTCGCCCGAGACATCCTCAGAGTCTGCTCCGTCATCATCAGCACCCCCACCATCATCATCCTCATCATGACCATCATCACCATCATCACCACCATCACCATCACCATCACCATCATCATCATCATCATCATCATCATCACCATCATCATAATCGTCATCGTCATCGTCATCGGCATCCTCATGCTCACCCGCAACATCACCACCGTCATCACCATCATCACCATCACCATCATCGTCATCATCATACAGCATAACTTGCGTAGTGGCCCTGAATGTGATTCTGAGTGGCACTGAGTAGTGAGGAGGAGGAGGAGGAGGAGGAGGAGGAGGAGGAGGACGAGGTGAGTGTGGATGCTCGGCGCGATGCAAGTAACGACAAACACAAACCTTGTTAGGATATCGGGAAAGCCAACGCACAGTGATCGGCGGGCGTCCGCGCATGATCCAGATTTGTTGCAAAGTGCCCTGTGTATATTTCTGTGCGACGGATGGTTGGGGGGTGAGCAATGCACACAGCAGGCAAGATGCCGCCTCCCCCGCCGTCCCTGTCAACAACCGATGCAACGTGATCGCGGGACGCATTTTGTATTGTGTTTTGCTTGGGATGGTTGTGGGGGCATATTGTTTGGGTTTGTCGCTGGCCGGGTGGAGAATGAAGTGTGCGTGTGTATATATATATATATAGATAAACATATATATGCACATACATACATAGACGACCACTTTTGGGTAATGAGGTGGTGGGGGGGGGGAGAAGGGGGAACCAACAATTGGTTCCATCGATCTCACTATCGATCTCACTCAACGGGACACCTCGGGACACCACGGGACACTTGTCGATCTCACTATCGATCTCATTTTTTGGGACACCACGGGCCACCACGGGCCACCACGGGACATTACGGGACACCGCCGGACATCTCTCGATCTCATTGTTGATCTCATTATCGATCTCACTTTTTGGGACACCGCGGGACATTTGTCGATCTCATTATCGATCTCACTATCGATTTCACTTTTTGGGACACCAAGGGACACCACGGGATACCGCGAGCCACCGCGAACCACCGCCGGACGGACGGACGGGCGGGCGGGGGAGAATCATTTGTCTTGATTTCGCCCTAGCAATGACGGACACCACGGGACACCGCGGGACACCGCCAGCCACCGTTGGACGGACGGACGGGCGGAAGAAGAAGAAGAAGAAGAAAGCCGAGCACGTCAGAGGTGCATTGGCCATGTGGCGAAAATGTGAAACAAATTTTACAAACTGAGCTGCCAGCCGCACAAATTATGTGAGACAGAAACAAGCACATGAGCACGAATTGAACGACTACCCGGCGTCACAGTATGCGTGCACAGCGGAGAGCCACGTCGTCGCCGATTGGGCTGTGTTGCGCAGGAGCGCCGGAAGGGCCTCCACACCCCCGGCAGCTGCGCAGGCATGTCGGTAAATCTCTTGCGGCCAGGTCTTCCTCGGGCGCCCCCGTTTCCTGTTTTCGGGCGGACGGACGGGCGGGCGGTGGAGAATCATTTGTATTGATTTCGCCTTAGCAACGGCGGGTTCATTCTCGCGTGCCCACGCAGTTTCGCCTGGCCCGCACGCACGACACGAACGAAACGAAACGATTTCCCAGTTGGGGGTCTCCGTGCCATTGCGATCTCACCCCCCAAACTCCGGTATAAGGAACAGTGATCAAGACACATCCCAGCCGCAAATTGTTTGGCGCATTCCCACCCGGCATTCCAACACAAAAGTAGTTCCCGAGTCCCAGCATATTCAGCGGTAGGTTTCGGATGGGCAGATACCGGAAACCATTACGGACCCCAGTTGCGCGACGGCTGGGCGAGGTGCGCTACGCGCACCAGGCGCGCCAGGTGCCCCTGGGGCACATGCGTGCCATGCATGCCTGGTGCGCCAGATGCGCTACGGGCATCACGTGTGCCAAGTGTGCCGCATGCTCCAGCCGCGTCAGTTGCGCCACGTTCGGGGCACGCGCAGAGTTTGCCAGGCGCGCCCGCGCACATCGGAAAACCGATGCGCAGTCGCGGCGGAGTGGCCATCATGAGGTCTGGTGGGCTTGCACAGATCATGCAGTATGCCAGCACCCCCGCCGCCCCTGTCAAAAATTATCAAAAGTGATCGTTGAGTGCCCGCGCATGATCCAGATTCAGCCGCTAAGTGCACCTTGCATTGTCTTTAACGGTGCTACTGGGCCTGCGCGCAGGCCATGTGCTGGCATCCTCGCCGTTTCTGTCAAATACAATACAATGTGTTCGCGAGGCCCCCGAAGATGACCCGAAATTTTGCCGCAAAGTGTACTTTGCATTGGAGCCTGGAAAGAGACGCGGGGCAGGAGGTGTGACTCACCTGCCCAGAAGTACCCGCAAGCTCGCGCGCCGTATATGGTAGGTGATCAACCAGCTCGCCATAGCGGGTTGAATCGTCGACCAAGCGAAGTGGCCGTGTTGATCACTTGGCGATGTGAGCGTTGGCGCGTCGTCATTTGCCCTCTTTGAGGGAGCGGGATCAGGCGGACAGACATGGAAGTAAGGCCGTCCTTCTCTTGCTTCTCCATACTTTTCTCCTCAGTGTCTTCTCGTCCTCTTGGCTCCACCTCCCATTGCTCGTTGTCTCTCCTCCTGGGGGATATTCGACCCTCTTGCTGTACCGCTCTTATGTGTGGTTACCAAGTGCGGCACGCAAAATTCGAGCGGTCATCTCGCGCCCCCGGGGGCGCCAGGAGGCAGAGTAGGAGGATCGGCAGGAAGAGTAGGGAGGAAAAGGTAAGAGGAGGGGGGTGAGGTTCGAATTCGGGCAGCGGTCTGAGGATGGGGAGGAGGAGGGAGGTGCTGTCGCGCGCCAAGCACGTGTCTGGCTGTAGATGCATTTCTCCCCCCACCTTTTCGCCCCCGTCTCGTAGCGAGCCTTCTCGTGCGGTCCGGGAGGAGAGGGAGGAAGAGGAGGACGTGGTTTCGACGCGTCGAGACTTTCGGGGCATGGTCGGGTGAGTCCCATCCCGTGCGGTTCTCCGCGTGTGTGCCCCATCGAGGCTGCTGCTTCGCCCTCTAGATCCTCCCGGACGCGCGCACGCAGGCTATCTCCGTCTCTCGCTTGCTTTTTGGCTCTGCGTATTGCCGTAGCGACGATGCTGCGCAGTTCGCTGCGGAGCAGCCGAGAGAGGAGGGCGATCATTGCCGTTCGCTCCCCGTGCCTCCTCGGCCCCCAGGAACGCGGAGGAGTCGGAGAGAAACGCGGTGCGCCGCATCGAGGAGGCGCTCCCACGCGCCCATTTGCCGCAGGGCTCCCCCCCGGTTCGCGGTCGCCCGTTCGGCTGGAGGCCTCCCTCTGCGGGCTGGAGTGGATGGGGTCGGGGGATCGCACCGAATCGCCGATGCATCGGCGTCGGGATGGAGAAAATCAGGATACGGGTCTCTCGGAGTCACCGATGCAACGGCGATACAGCGCGATTTTCCGACACGGCCCCTTCTGGGAGGGCTGGAGGGGCGTGCTCCTGCCACTGGTTGCGTTACATTTGCGGGGGGGGGTTCGGGGGAACTCAATTGACCACCCCATCGACCCTGGCCAGGTCCATCCTTAGCCCAGGGCGGTGTCGAGGTCCTGCTGGCCTGGCAAGGGCGGCGCATGCACCGATGATGGGTCAAGTATGGGCCTGACCAGGTTCGGTGAGGTTGTCAGTTGATCTTCCCCCGAGCCATGTATGTCATGAACATCGCAGCCTGTTCTTGTATCCGGCGCGGGTTCGATGTAGATCCGACGACGATCCGACGCGGATGGCGACCCGATGGGACAGATGAGGCCCCCGAAGGCGCAATGTATCTAATTTCCTTCGGCCCACCCCGACACCGTGCTTGGGTTGTGGGTCAGAGTCCTCAGGGATGCTTATTCGGGTCTCTTCGCATCACTCTCGAGGGCCTCTTGGGGGCAGTGTTGGGGACCTCTTGGGGGCCTTTTGGGGCTGGGGGCCTCTTGTGGGTCTTTTGGGGCTTCTTGGGTGTCTCTTGGGGCCTCTTGGAGGCCTCTTGCAGATGTGGCCTCGAGGAGGGAGCGCCCGCACCCTCTTTTCCACTCCTGTGGCAAGCCAAAATGCTGCAGCATCAACACGCACATGTCCCTGTCTATTCACACTGCACACTACACTCACGCACTCCCAGAAGGGCCCGACAAGCCCACGATCAGCACCTCCCGGGGCCTCCTGGGGGCCTCTCGGTGCCCAGGACTCACCATTTTTTGTTCGGCTCCCCCGTCTGAGCCCCCTCTAGGAACCGTCTTGGAGGCCTCTTGGGCAGTCTTGCGGACTTGGGCCGTTTGGCGGCCTTTTGGGCAGTCTTGGGGCGAATGGGGCCTCTTGGGCAGTCCTGGAGCGTCGGGAAGCCGAAAAGGCGAGACCGCCCAAATCCGTCAAAACCCAACGACAATCATAGGTGTCGCCTCTTGGGAGGCCTCTCGGAAGCCTCCCAGGGGCGTATTGGGGGAATGTTGGGCTGTCTTGTGGCCATCTTGGGCGTCTATGATTGATCGTTCGGCGATGTGGGGCCCTCTTGGACTGCTTGCGGGCCTCTTGGGGCCCTCTTGGCCCGTCTTGGGGCCCTCTTGGGCCCGAAAATGGACGCGGACAGCCCCCGACGATGTGGCAAGTTGGGGTCCAGGCCCTCTAAAGAAGCTTCAGGTTTGAGTACTGAGGCTCCAGGGGATGGAGCAAGTGACCTGGAGACACTCTAACACCCGTGCCGCAATGGCACGGTAGCGGATCACCGCGGGCCCACGGAGTCGTCCGTGTCTTGCGCTTGGGCAGGCCGTGTTCCGCGCGCAGGCTTCTCGAAGGACCAAGCACAGCTACATAAACATAGTTTCGGCCTTGGCCTGCGGCACGGAGGCTGGGTGTCGGAAGGGAGCTTGGGGGGAAGCGTGCCGATATTACGATATCCTCTTTCTCCTTGCATCATGCGTTCGAGCCTATTTGCATCGTTGGTGTCGGGGTTCAAGCTGCTGTTGGTCTCTTGCGCTGCGCATGCTATTCACAATTCGATTGTGCCTTATTGTTGTTGTGCCTTCTGCTGTATGGAGAAATCAACGCAACATGCAGGCACGGTGTCGACCCACGTCCAGGATCGTCAGAGTCTTGAATTAGTGGGCGTGTTATTTGCAAGTGGCCCAATTCGATGTCACGATGACTTGTCCTCATATGGGATCCGTTACGTTGTGTTTTACATGGCGTCGAGATGTATGACGTGTCCATGACATGTGTTGCGTGGCAAGGCGTTGCTTCGCTGGGCTTCGCTACATGTTACAACTTGCTGCTATACTGATTGTGCCGATCGCTACATTCGCGTGCAGTACCGTGTTGTGCTATGATATTAGTAAAGTACGCTGCACTCCGTTAGTGCAATGTGTGTGAGTGTGTGTTGTGGTACGTTTCCTCGTATGAGCTATGCTGCTGTGTCTGTTTCATGTGAGTTGGTCTGCTTCGTTGCAGCAGTACTCTTCTCTGCTCCGGATTGCGTTGTTTTGCGTTCAGTTGGTTTCCTGTGCTTTCTGGGTTTTCGGTTAGCGTTGCTCAGATTTGCGAGTGTCACGTTTTAGCATCCGTTTCTGAGAGGAGCTTATACTCGCGCGTAAACGTCGGCCCGCTTGGCCAGATTGGAAGCCCATGCTCGAGGTCGGATTACTGTCCTCGCCCCCAGTCTTCCATTCATCCTCTCCCGGTATGTGGCCCGGCGGGGGCTCGGAGGCCCGTCTGGGGTGTTCCTCTGGAGCTTTCGGGAGGGGATCCTGGCGAGGTCAGCGGGGCACCTGGGGTACATGACGCTGTGGCCATCTCCTTCACGTCTGCGGCAGGCTCTTTTCTATCAAGCGGCAGACACAGTATGATAGCAACACGGCTTGAAGCACAAATGGGCTATGCGCATATCTACAGTGGGGCACTTGCTTCAGGACCATAGTTGACGATCCCTGAGCAGTCCGTCGTTCGTATCTGCGTGTGTTCGGGGCTGTGGGTATAGCATAGCCATGCCAGTAGAAGAAACAGGGGGAGGATGGGGGTGAAGGAGGATAATATGAAGAGGGGAGTCAGATGGTACAAAAACAGGCGCAGCGGAGGAGGAACAAGGATGACGTGCAGGAGGGGAATGGGGAGGAGGGGGAAGAGCATGAGGGGCGAAGAGGAGAAGGAGGAGGAGGAAGAAGAAGAAGAGTAGTGGGACGAAGAGGTGGAAGAGGAGGACGAGGAGGAGGAGGAGGAGGAGGAGGAGGAGAAGGGGGAGGAGTGGGGCAAGGGGTCGGGGGAGTTGGAAGCTGAGTACAGTTGAAGGAGGCTGAGGAAGCATGTAGATCATGCCCTAGAGGAGGAGGAGGAAGAGGAGGAGGAGGAGGAGGAGGAGGAGTGGAGGTGGTGGTCGAGGAGGAGAAGGAGGAGGAGGTGGAGCGGGAGCATTCGGACTCGCAGGGCCGGGCGTCGGGTGCGGTCGACCACCCACAGGTGGAGCGGCGGGTGTTCCGGAGCCAAGCGGAAGAGCACGAGGCCAGGCGGGCGGGCCTCCCCTCCTTCTCTTTTGGCCATGGCGTCGGGGAGGCCCGGAAGGGAATCCATTTGGCGGGCGGCGGGGAGGGGCACCGTCACGTGCGTTCGCTCCGTTTCTCGTTCTTCGGCGAACGTCGGCTTGACGCCCCTCCCTTGGCGGCACGCACAGGGAGGTGGCCTGAGGGGGTGGGGCTGCTTAGAAGGCAAGCGCCTCACGAGAGGGGCCCAGAATCTTCGAATGAGCCTTCCTAGAAACGATTGACCCTTCTGAGATGACCCCTTCCTTCTTCGAAGCCCCGTGCCTTCAATTCGGCCGCTCCTCTCGTGCAACCTCCTTTGTGCGCGCCGCCTATTCCCTCTCTCCGCCCCCCTGCCGGGAGGTTAGGGCTTGACGCTTACCCACGTTTGAATACGAAGTTCTTAGCCGTTGTGGCGCACGGCGGGACGCCAAGCATCCAGACGAAAGCTTGGAACTCTTATTGCGGTTTAGTGGCTCGAGCTCGAGCTTAGGCATTCCGCATGTGAGACGGGATTGGTTTTGAGAGGTTAGGGAGGGCTCCAGCTTGAGCTGAGGATTCCGTGTGCGAGACGTGAGTTGTTTGGAGAGGTTCGTTGAGTGTGTGAAGCCCACGACGCCCTCGGCCCGACCAGAAATTGTTGTTTTCCAGCCATGTTGTGATGTTGGGCCCTTGGTTTGCAGAGCGAGCGCCCCGCGTCACCTCACCTCCCACCTCCCTCTTCCGTCCTCCCATTCCTGCTGCTGCCCTCCGCATGTAGATGTCGGCACACCCTCGCACCCTTCGTAGCCCCACAGAGAGCTCCAGGTAAGGCCCCAGGAGAGAGGTACCCCAACCCATTTCGGCACGCAAACCCTTCGCACGCGTCGTAGCCCCAAAGGAAGCTCAAACTAAGGCTCCAAAAGAGGGTGTTACCGCATGCGGTCCCCAGTCGATTTCGGCACACCCCTCACACGTCTCGTGGCCCATGGGGAGCTCCAGCTGGGACCCCAGGGGGGCGGGGGGACCGCATGCGGCCCCCCGATGATTTCGAGACACCCCTCGTACGTCTCGTGGCCCCATAAGGAGGGAGCTCCAATTAAGGCCCCAGGAGGGGGTACTGCATTCGGTCCCCAAGCCGTTTTGGGGCACGCTCACATGTTTCGTGGCCCCACGGGGAGCCCCAATTGAGGCACAGCTTGCATGCGTCAATAGCCCATTTCGGCGCACGCCTCACACACTTCGTGGCCCCAAAGAGAATTCCACAGAAGGCTTCAGCAGCAGCGCCCGCATGCGTCCCCAGGCACATTCCAGCACACCACTCACACGTTTCGTGGCCCCATAGAGAGCTCCAACTGAGGCCCCACTGACACAGCTCGCATGCGTCCCGCAGGTCCATTCAGGCACACCCCTGACACGTTTCGTGGACCAACAGGGAGCTCCACTGAAGGTGATCCTTACCATCGCGGCACTCACAACTGCATATGGTTGTTGTTGTATTGCAATTTGTTTGTGCGTTGCAGTTTTTCCCTAACCCAGCGGCTATGACCGGATGGCCCGTGAAACGAGGAGGACGAGGAGGAGCAGGAGAAGAAGGAAGGAAGAAAGACGAACAGGAGGGGGAAAGTCACAGCGAGCCGACACAAACATGCAGAGAGAAAGGAGGGGGTGAAAAGGCAGCAGCAGCAGGCAAGCACGCACGTTGAGGGCGGGTGGGGGGTGGGAGGGTCGAAGGTCGTTGGCGGCAGTCGGGGGGGTGTTGTGGGTAGCCGAGGGTTGTGGAGGCGTCGCGGGCCGTCTGGGGACGGGAGGCGGGGTGGTGGCTGCGGGGGGGCTGGTCAGGGGTGGCGGCGGCCAGCCTGGCTGCGGGCGCCCCGTGCGGAGCCTGCAGCCTGCGAAGCATGGCCCGCACGCTTTCTGCTTGAAGGAGAAGCGAGAGTCGCTGGGCGTGCACCGCCGCCACGGAGGCGGGGTCCTCCCCGGTGGCGTCTGCCGCGTTTCGCCAGGGCGTTGCAAGTTTTGGTTGTGTGGCAGTTCGTTGTTGCGCTGCAGCTTTTCTGATTTAGCTTTAGCTTCGGACTCCGTGTGTGAGACGGGAGTGGTTTGGAGACGTTCAGGGAGGGTGTGAAGCCCACGTCGCCCCCTCTCGACGACCAGAGAACATTGCCCTTGCATCACATGCTCGCTTTGCGTTGAAAATTGTTTCCCACATCCAAAGCGGGGTTCTTGTTTTCTCCGGACACCCCACGCAGGAACACACGGGCACACACTCACTCACACTCACATTCGCTCACACAGACCATCTTGATCACCTTGACCATCACTCGATCACACACCCACTCACCCACTCACTCCTCGTCTGCATCATTCTCATCATCACCACTCCTTCAGTCATTCACTCCTTCACCCACCCACTCATTCGCTAGCGTGAATATGGGGGAAACATCAGGCGGGAGACTGGCTCGTCTGTGAGTGAACTGCGAGGAGGTCTCAGGCGGGAGCCCGCTCCCTATGGGGTCAGCATTTTTTTAGGTATGTATGTATGTATGTATGTATGTATGTATGTATGTATGTATGTATGTATGTATGTATGTATGTATATATATATATATATATAACCGAGCGGGTCATCCGTTTCGTGGTAGTTCCCAACCATCCTGTGGTGTTGGGGCTCTCGTTTTGAAGAGACGGTGGCCCGCGTCTCTCCTCCTCTCCTCCTCCTCCCCCTCCTCCCCCTCCTCCCCCCTCCTCCCTGCGTTTCACCCACCCAGTACAGCGTTCCGTGGCCCCATAGGGAGGTCCACTGAAGGCTCCAGTGGCTGCGTTCGCATGGCGGCCCCGCCCCATTTCGGCGCACCCCTCACGAGGATCGTGGCCCCATAGGGAGCTCCACCGAAGGCCCCAGTGGCAGCGTTCGCATGGCGGCCCCGCCGCATTTCGGCACACCCCTCACAAGGATTGTGGCCCCATAGGGAGCTCCACCGAAGGCCCCAGTGGCAGGGTTCGCATGGCGGCCCCGCCGCATTTCGGCACACCCCTCACTAGGATCGTGGCCCCATAGGGAGCTCCATCGAAGGCCCCAGTGGCAGCGTTCGCATGTGGGCCCCGCTCCATTTTGGCGCACCCCTCACGAGGATCGTGGCCCCATAGGGAGCTCCACCGAAGGCGCCAGTGGCAGCGTTCGCATGGCGGCCCCGCCCCATTTTGGCGCACCCCTCACAAGGATAGTGGCCCCATAGAGAGAGCTCCACCGGAGGCCCCAGTGGCTGCGTTCGCATGGTGGCCCCGCGCCATTTTGGCGCACCCCTCACGAGGATCGTGGCCCCATAGGGAGCTCCACCGAAGGCCCCAGTGGCAGCGTTCGCATGTGGGCCCCGCTCCATTTTGGCGCACCCCTCACAAGGATTGTGGCCCCATGGGGAGCTCCACCGAAGGCCCCAGTGGCAGCGTTCGCATGGCGGCCCCGCCCCATTTCGGCGCACCCCTCAAGAGGATCGTGGCCCCATAGGGAGCTCCACCGAAGGCGCCAGTGGCAGCGTTCGCATGGCGGCCCTGGGCCATTTCGGCACACCCCTCACGAGGATCGTGGCCCCAAGGGAGCTCCACCGAAGGCTCCAGTGGCAGCGTTCGCATGGCGGCCCCGGGCCATTTCGGCACACCCCTCACGAGGATCGTGGCCCCATCGGGAGCTCCACCGAAGGCCCCAGTGGCAGCGTTCGCATGGCGGCCCCGCCGCATTTCGGCACACCCCTCACAAGGATTGTGGCCCCATAAGGAAGCTCCACCGAAGGCCCCAGTGGCAGCGTTCGCATGGCGGCCCCGCCCCATTTCGGCACACCCCTCACAAGGATCGTGGCCCCATAGGGAACTCCATCGAAGGCCCCAGTGGCAGGTTTCGCATGGCGGCCTCGGGCCATTTCGGCACACCCCTCACGAGGATCGTGGCTCCATAGGGAGCTCCACCGAAGGGCCCCAGTGGCAGGGTTCGCATGGCGGCCTCGGGCCATTTCGGCGCACCCCTCACGAGGATCGTGGCTCCATAGGGAGCTCCACCGAAGGCGCCATTGGCAGTCTCCCTCATGGCTCTCAGAACCCTTTCCTGTTTCTGCTCTTCGGTCAGGGGGGCGCCGTCCTCGTGGTCGTCGGCGCCCGCGAGGACGGCCACAAACGTGTCCCTGAGCATGTCGGGCTCCGGCGGGAAGCCGTGGCCACATAGGGAGCGCGGGCGAAGATGGTATTCACAATTGCTGTATCCACAATTGCGTATGGTTGGGTCCTTCGCCAGGCTAACTGTCGTAACTTTTGGGCTCCTGAGGCTTGACTATGGGGGGCAGTATCAGGCGGGAGGCTCGTCTGTGAGTGAACGGTGAGGAAGTTTCCAGCGGGAGCCCCCTCCCTATGGGGCCCACTCTTCATGTTTTTAATCCGAGCGGGTCATCCTCATCCGTGTAGCTGTCGACACTTTTGTGATCTTGATGCCTGGGTATGTGGGAAGTATCCGGCGGGAGGCTCGTTTGTGATTGAAATGTGAGGAAGTCTCAGGCGGGAGCCCATTCCCTATGGGGCCCGAGCTTTATTCCCAACCACCCTTTGGTTTTGGGTCCTCGTTTTGACGAGACGGTGCCCCGCGTTCTTCCTCCTCTCCTCCTCCATCCTCTCTGCGTTTCACCCACCCAGTCCACCTTTGCGTGGCCCCATAGGAAGCTCCGCTGAAGGCCCTAGTGGCAGGGTTCGCATCGCGGCCCAGCGTTTTGGCGCACCCCTCACGCGGCGCGTGGCCCCATGGGGAGCTCCACCGAAGGCCCCAGTGGCAGGGTTCGCATGGCGGCCCCGCGCCGTTTTGGCGCACCCTTCACAGGGTTCGTGGCCCCATCGGGAGCTCCACCGAAGGCCCCAGTGGCAGGGTTGTCATGGCGGCCCCGCGCCGTTTTTGCGCACCCCTTCACACGGTTCGTGGTCCCATGAGGAGCTTCACCGAATACTCTGGTGGCAGAGTTCGCATGG